TGTATATATATATGACTTACATTTATATATTCAGATGTATAAATATACATTGATTTACTTCTATATTTTCAGAATTACAACTATATATTTTGATTTACATTTATATATTCAGATTTTATATAATTCTTATATATTACACACACATATATAGAAAAATATAAATATGTATATATGTATAGTATACAACACACACACAATTTTCTTGATGCTTTATTGCATCACGTCTGGTTAAAATACGGTGTTAGAAATTGTTTTGAATGCTTAAATGCAAATAAGAACAACTAAACAACATTTTAGGTTATGCATTTTCCTACAAAAAGATCTGTTTTGTGCAAGTATTAATTATTCATTCATTCATTCAAAGCATGTTGACATGCTTTCCGAGTTTACCTTGTCCACGTAGTTTGCTATTTCAGCAAGCCTCTGTTTCACTTTCTCCACATCTTTCCCCTGTTTCTGATACTGAAATGCAAAGGAGGACAAAAAAGTCTTTAAACTGCAACTAAATGTGCCGTTCATTGGTCGGCTGTGGTAAATGTCACATGAGGTAATTCATTTTCCATGGGCAGCGGCACACAGATGTCGAGCCAAACACAACCAGCAGTGCTTGATGTCCAGACTGTCAGTTTTACAAAATAAAAGCACAGACTGGAAATGTGTCACCCATGATGGCTGTGATTGTTGTAGGAGAGACAAAAAACAGGATGAAAGCTTGATTGCTGTAAAATTCGCAAGACAAGCAATGCACTATTTCTAACTCTTTCTTTAACATCCACCTGGTTCCGGCAGGTACAGCTGGGGAAAATATAGATCATTCAACAAACTGAATGATCAGGTTTTGTTCGTGTCCATAAAATATCACAGGACGGGACATTTGAGAGGCCCCCCAATGGTAGAAAGAATTATATTGTAAACAAAGTGTTTCTTAATGCACATTACAAACAGTCTGTAAAGAGGTCAAATGTAAAGAGGTCTTCATTTCCTGTGCAAACAAACAATGACCCTCTAATCGCCTTTGGTAACAACGATTCAAAATGGACACATTTCAAGTGACAAGGGAAAAAGACACGGAAAACTTCAATGAACATCAGAAAAGCAGCGTGCACATTTCTGGTTAAAAACGAAAGGCCATCAACAGACACTTAAAACGGGAAGCATCGCCATTCAAATCAGCAGCAAGAGTCAAAGCTAGTCCACACTTTAGTAAACGCTGGCGACCTCTTTAAGTTATTCCTGACTGTGCTGTATTGACTGCTTTGATGCGTTGCAATACGGTAGGGCATTGTTTTGATGTTTACATAAGATTTTTCTTTTGCCTTTTTATGCACCGCCCCACCCCCCATGTGTTTAGATATTTGGCTTCTAATGCTTTTTGTAAATTGATGGTTTCCTGCTCTTGTCAGCCAATCAATCAGCTTATAAAACACCACGTTGCATGTGAATCAATATTTCATGTCTGGAACTAATTTTCTTTTACCTTTTGTAGTCTTGTTCTGGGTTTTGAGGATGAGCACCATTATATGGTAAGCTATCATTTGCGCTGAGCATCGTTGATGTCTGTGACCCAAGTAAAAAAACAGATCTGTGTTTCATTTTTAGGTCACGACCCACTAGTTTAGAGCCGCTGAATTAGATGATGGAAGGTTGGAGATGTGTGTGAGGTCAAGAGCGTCATTACCTCGCGGTTGTCTGCGACGATTATCAACTCCACATGCTTGGTGCTGCTCTGGGCGTCTCTTTTATGCTGCAGAGAGAAAAAATGAGAGAAAGAACATGATTAAGAGAGAATTTCACCCTCTTCTTCTGAAGGACACAGTTAATAGAGCCTGCACTCAAGACGCTTTTATAAAATCTCCCAAGGCCCATTTTGCTATGAGTCTATATGGCCTTTAAGGCACAGAGGTGACGTCTTCAGCTCTCTTCCAAATGTGCCCTCTATTAACAGAGCAGTGTGTGATTGAACATCCACTTCTGCGTTCAGCAATGCCCTTAAACTATCAACCACATCAACCACAATGTGCTTTCCAGGAGACCGTTCACTTTAACGGCCTTCGGATTGCCTGGCAATCTCATTTACTCATTTGAAAGACCCACTTGTCTTATATAGATGTTATAAATGTCTCTTTTCAAATGAAGAGTCTTTCAAGTAATTCTCACCTAGTCATTCTTCGTTTTCACTATATTCAACATTGTAGGATTATATTGAAGTCATCAATGACTGAAATGACACCAAAGGACATATGGGAATTAGTGAAAGCAAATGTTATATAAATGAAAACTCACTTCTAGTTGAGCTTCTTTTTGTGTAGACTTGCTGACTGATTTTCCTATCCAATCTGACTCATCAAAAAAACAAAACATGTAATTAATTAGATCTAGAAAAAACTGATATAGAAAAAATATAGTAAATAAACTAATTTTTTAAAACAATAGAATATTTTATAAATATTAATTTTATTAATATTTTTCAAATACAATATTAAAAACAATAAAATATTTTAGAAATATTTATTTAAGTTTTCTATAAATAAAATAAAAAAATAAAATAAAATATGTATAGTGCAAGATAAGAAGTCAAATGTGAAGTAAACTTTTACAATATTTGAGACCTACAGCTGAGGGAAAAAGTTTTTCCAATTCTCAGTTTGTTTTATGTTCCTATAACTCTTTAATTGGTCATTCTTTGGTTTTCATCAATGGCTTTCTCGTTATACATGTATGCGACAACCGCTTACTTTATAAAGACTTATGAAGTATTACAATCCCCCATTAATTTTGCATATAAATTATATAAAGTAGCATTTGTACAATTTTCATCTAGTAAAGTCTTCATAATCCTTCATAACCCTACTTTTCAGTTCACAGCTGGAGTGTGAAAAGAAGAGCGTTATGATTCATGAAAACTAGTAAATCCCCAAACTGTGAAGTGCACGTGTGCTCCACTGGCCCTCTGTTCAGGCAAATTGGTCATGCGGATATCAGATAAATATCGGATTTAGAACCACATGACAAATCAGATCTTATACAGGCTGTTTAAACACATGCAACAGGATCTAATCAGTGCCAGATGACACTATAAATGCGAGAGTCCAGCTAGGACAGACTATCATGAAGGTGACCCTCGTCTTCTTGCATTCAGCATCAGTCCTCTCGCTCTCAATGGAAGCTGTCTCTCATTGTTTCCACTGACTGGTCTTCTATTAATGGAAATAAAAGGCCGGACTCATCTGTGTCAGGTTTCGTGTTGAGAAGAATTTGGGTCGTAAGGCCTAGCAGAGTGTTTCACCTCTTTCACTTTGAAGAGGGAAGCTGATAAGCACTTGACTTCCACACCACAACTAATGAACGTGCGCTTAATTCAGTCAGCAACAACATCAGGTAAAGAACATGCTGTTGGATAAACCCTTTTCAGGGGAGAATAAGACCTGTTTCTGAATCTCAAAAAATGCTCCAGTGTGTAAAAAGTTAGTTTGTGTTGAGATTCTGAAAGAGATGATCTGTCAGAACTCAATGTCAACATTTAGCAATCATTCCTGCCATATAAAACACTTCAGTGCCCACAGTGAGAGACTGAATGTGTCCTTGGGTGTCCTTAAACAAAGAGCGATCTGTGACCTCGTGCATCAGAAGCTTCACTAAACACCCCACCTATCTGTCATTGGTCAGGCAAGCAGATAGTCCCGCCCCAAACTCATGCTATTGTCTGAGTCAGTGTTACTGTGTTGGGCTGGTTGAGAAATCAGCTTTAAAAGCAAGCTACTTTATTTCTGTAATTAGGGATATTTCAAAATAAAATTTCTCTCTCTCTCTCTCTCTATATATATATATATATATATATATAGTTTTATTTTATTTTATTTTGAAATATATTCCTTAAATATATACATGTACTGTATGTGTGTGTATTTATATAAACATATAAATATACACAGAACACACACATGTGTGACCCTGGACCACAAAACCAGTCATAAGGGTCAATTTGTTTTCTGGTTTTCTGGTCCAGGGTCACATATATTATGTAAACACAAACTTTTATTTTGGATGAGATATCGCGATTAATCGATTTGACAGCCCTAATATATATTAAAAATGTAAATAAATAGGCTGGATAGAGTAAATGCAGTAAATTTTTATATTTATTTACATAATGTGATGTATTTCACAGGAAGCAGGACATTCAATAAGTATAAATGAGGAACTTTTATTATACTGAATGTCAGTTTGCTAATTTGAGTTTGATGGATAAAAGCCCAGCCATACATGGTTTACAGCTAAATAGTCAGTTTTATTCAGAAATATGTCACATTAGTTAAACAGGCTGCATATGTTTCTGCATGAAAAAACACTACTGGATGCTGTTTGAGGTTTTTTTGAGCTCACCCTCCTGCTGTGAGAGCTGAAGCCGGCTACTGTAGTGTTCGTCATCTCTGTAGGGTATGAGATGTTGTGACCGTGTCCGCAGGCTCCCTGGGTGAGTTTAAGATCGTCTCCTCTGTAAAGCCAATGTGTGTTTCCCTCTTCCATCGGCTCCAGTATATATACTTTATATTCAAGTGAAATCAGTCCCCTGTTGAACGAGACCATGAACAGCATTCAGTTAACATCTAGATTAGTTCATATCACCATTATGCATGCATCATGTAAACACAACAAAAAATAATTAGAAATAACAATAAAAAAGAACATTTATGTATTTGTTTACTGGGAATATGAGCAGCTAACTTGACATGTAACATTACTGACATTTTTTTCTCTCTCATATTTTCATAATTTGGCTGGACAGTGAAAAAAAATTTGATCAATAAACAATATAATAATAAAATAGTCTATAGTATTTTGTAAAACAATCTATGTCTAGCAACTATTTCTAGTTGCTAATCAGGAAGCAAATATAGTATTTTATGAATTAAATTTGTAACATTTATACGGAACTACATCTGTTAAATTCTATTATAACGTGACATGTAACTTTACCCTCATTGTTTCTCTTATATTTTCATAATCTTGCTAGACAGTGAAAAACACAAATTTTATCAACAAACAAACTAATATATATATATATATATAGCAATTTCATCCTGTCTCATCATTAACAGTGAAATATACAAATCTATATTCAAAATGTGGAGAAAAATAATATTTAAATATATTTAATTGATCTATTTGTGGTCTATTGTCTGGACTATGCACATATTGCACTAAACGTAAATAGTCTACAATATTTTGTCAAAAAGTCTCACACAATCCGTTTCTAAATGAGCATCTCTTGGAAATGTTGCTAATCAGGAAGTAAATATGATGTTTTCAAGCTGTTAAGTTAGAAAGCATAACAGTTTTACCTCCTGCTATGAACTAACAGTGAAATATACAAATCTATATTCAAAATGTGGAGAAAAATAATATTTAAATATATTTAATTGATCTATTTGTGGTCTATTGTCTGGACTATGCACATATTGCACTAAACGTAAATAGTCTACAATATTTTGTCAAAAAGTCTCACACAATCCATTTCTAAATGAGCATCTCTTGGAAATGTTGCTAATCAGGAAGTAAATATGATGTTTTCAAGCTGTTAAGTTAGAAAGCATAACAATTTTACCTCCTGCTATGAACTAAATTTGTAGCATTTATGAAACGCATTTGTACTCTAATTATTGTGCTTGCAGATTTCATGACCTCATGTTAATTTAGAGACCATGTGAAATATTTGCACTTATCTGAACAGCACTTTTCCCAAAATGTGCTTTCAAATGCTGAGATGCACTAATAATTTAAGATTATCTGGAACTGAATAACACAGAAAAGGAGTGAGACACAAGAAGCTTTTACAACATTAACACAAAACGGCGAGAGAAACTCTTCTATGAGAGGAAGTGGTTTCTCGTTTTCCCACAAAATAAGACAGCGTGACGTTTTGGAAAGCGGCTTAGTTCAACATCCAAGCCACTGTTGGTCAGCAGACGATTCATTTGGTAGGATATTTGGCTAAATAAATCTTCCCCCGAGCTCTAATGTTACCACTCTGTGGTTCTTGGACCGGCGTCCGCAAACCTTTCTCACACTTTCGAGTCGTACGCTGAATTTAAGTGACATTCTCCTTTGCTGGGAAACGGCCAGCGCTTTGGGCTTTTCCAGAAGTTTCAAAACTACATTCTCCACCGCATGAGATCCTCGTGGAAACCCTGGACGCTGCCAAACTGAATAAGCAGCAATTTATTTTGGCCGCTTCTGTCGGAGGAGACCTGCGCTGTGTCTGTCTGCCAGGTGGAGAGAGACAGGTTACTGCGGCAAAAAACTGAGCCAAGGTGAAAGAAAGAGCTGAACAATAAGCGGCGTGACTCTGGGGACGGAGACGATTTTGACGCTTTATCGCAGTCATAAATCCTGCATGTCCGGGCCGCGCTCGTTCTCCACAGGTCGAAGTGTGAAAATCAACTTTATGCATCTCTTGTGGCGCATGATCAGTTAATATAAAGTTATGATGGTGATGCCCTGACAGAAGCTATTATAGGACAATCACTTTCTTCCTTTAGAGCTGAATCGAATTTGTTTCATAATTGATGAGCTCTGCAACACTGTTATTAAACTGAACGCAACAGAATCAACACCAATCTGACTTGACGTCATTATTGTTTTCTGCAGAGCTTCTTTACAGCTGAGTTAAGCTTGTTTCTTAATTTGATGAACTTTGCACTATTATTGAACTAAACTGAATCAACACTGAACTGTTGAATTGAGTTTGCTTTATAATCGCTGCACACTGTTATTGAACTAAACTGAACCAACTTAACTGACCTGTAAAGTAAAAAAAATAATATTTTCAAATATAATTGTAAATATATTTCAAAATATACAACAAAAAAAAGGCCAAAAAAATTAATTTGCTAAAAAAAAAAAAAATGATTTGGCCACTTTTTGGTAATTTTTGAAAGAATAAATTGGCCTTAGAGGTTTTTGCATCTCAAGTCTTCATACATACATACATATATATATATATATACAGTGGGTACGGAAAGTATTCAGACCCCCTTAAATAAATCGCACTCCTCTCAGCCAATCAGATTCGAGAACCAAAGAACAGTTGTATAAATATATATTTTAGTAAATTAAGGTTTGAAACCAAATATAATTTCTATTTTCAAAAATATATTTCATTGAGCTTCACTGTTAACAACATATATTTAGCATATATTTTGGCTACGAAAAATATATTGTTTGATGTAATTATGACACTATTGACATTTTAGAGCTGCTTTACGACTAATACTGTATTTGTTTTATAATTGAAGCACATTTCAACATTAATACTGTAATTTTCTTGTTTATTACTGTGAAGCTGCTTTGAAACAATCTGTATTGTATAAAGCGCTACAGAAGTAAATGTGACTTGACTTGACTAGCAGTGTTCCCATGCGACATCACACGCTTTTGAAACTATCTGAATGTCCCTTCTCGGGTAATGAATCAAACCTAAGCATACTTTTTCATAATTAAAACATGAAGCGTATCGTGTCTCTTGAGGATGCTGGTAAAAGGGGGCATTTATAAAACTGTGAAGCAGAAGCAGTATAAAAAAATGTAAAAAAAAAATTTGAATTTACTGCTAATTATTTTACTACTTATTATCAATGTATCATTATTAAAAGTATTATAAATTAATTAATTAATTAATTATTTACTTACATCAATTTATCATTATTAAGTCTTTTTTTTTACTTTCAAAAATTTACTTGAAAATGTTTACTTTATTAAAGCTTACTAAATCTATCCAGCAAGAAAAGAGAGAAAATTGTATTTTTTCTTGTCAATATTGTTTTGACTGGAAATATTAATTACATTTTATTTTTTAAATAAAATTAAATAAAAAATTATATTAATATTTATCATTAAGTCTTTTTTTTTACTTTCAAAAATGTACTTTAAAATGTTTACTTTATTAAAGCTTGTTAAAGCTATCCAGCAAGAAAAGAGAGACATTTAAATTTTTTCTTGTCAATATTGTTTTGACTGGAAATATTAATAAAATGTTTAATTAAATTGTATTTTTTAACTAAAATAAAATGAAAAATTATATTAATATTTCCAGTAAACAGTAATCACTTAACGAAAGCTATGTTTTTCAGTTTATAAATATATTAATTTACACCAATATAATAATGAATAAATAAATAAATAAAAATGACTACTTACTTACTGTCAGTTTATCATTATTAAAAGTCTTTAATTTTTACTTTATTAAGACTTATTAAAGCTAAAGCTATCCAGAAAGATCAGAGAGATATTTATACTTTTTTGTGTCAATATTGTTTTGATTAATAAGCAGTAAAAGCAGGAAAGCTAGGGTTGTTGTTTCTAAAACTGTTAATTTATACCATTTTGATTTAATTAATTTTTGTCCACCACCTTTATGATATTCAATGTTATTCTAAGTAAATACATAAATGAATAAATAATACCAAAACCATACAATAACTATTATCAGTTAAACATTTTTACAGTCTTTATTTTTTTTACTGTCAAAAATATACTTTTTACTTACTAAATACTTTCTTAATGCTTATTAAAGGCTTATTAAATTTAAATCCAGTCAGAGCAAGCAATACATTTCCACTTTTTCTTGTCAACTTTTACTGTCAAAAATATACTTTTTACTTACTAAATACTTTCTTAATGCTTATTAAAGGGGTCATATGATGCGATTTCATTTTTTCCTTTCTTACATTTCCACTTTTTCTTGTCAATATTGTTTTGATTAATATTTCCAATAAACAACTCATTAGGAAAACGGTAGGCTGTTTTGATGGTTGCCGATCAATTTAGTATCTTGTCTTTAATATAGCATCTGCACTGTATCATGCTTTCAAATGTGGCTCATCCAGTCAGATTTTACAGCGAGAACTGTCTGCTTAATAAAGCTCATTTTATTTCATATTCATCCCAGCACACCAGTGGCACTGGGGTTATTTTAAGAGCATGTCCTGCCGTAAACTACAGCCCTCCATATATCTTTGAATCTCATTCAAAGGAACATGAGGACATCCATCAGAACACACAGCGCCCTGAGCTATGGTGTCCATCACAGCATTGTTTCCTGCCAGCCGTCGGACAAAAAAAGACATTCCACTTCCATAAACAACGAAACACACAAAGCCACAGACCTGCCAGCTGAATTAAAATCATAACTCTGTGTATACAGCAAATTGGATTAGAAAATAACGAGTTCTCATCACTCATATTAACTTAACTCATATTAACACAGTATTCAAGAAACAAGCGTCTTGTAAATGAACACATGCAAAAATAATGGTTAATAAAATTGCAATGCAAATGCTTTCATAATACCCTATAATCAGACCCAGACTAAAATTGTTGCATTATAATTAGCAATCTTTCAGCATTCTCTGAACTGATATTTCATGAAAACGTGCATAGTTCTGTGAAATGGAATTTAACATGGCACAATATTAAATAAAACAAACTAATATCTGTAAGGCAGGAGCAACATTTTATGCATGCTATTAAAAAATGGGCCAGATTTAGTTTAGCCTATAATTCTGATTAAGGATAAGCATGATAAAATGCATAAAGTGTCAGAAGCTGGCACTGAAAGCACTATATTCTGAAGACATGTAGCTGATCATGCCGATGTCAATGATGTAAAGGCTAACAGATGGTGTGCGGTCAGCCTCAGGTCCAGTGTTAAATCACTTGGTCGCTTCATACTGCGGGCCACAGCTGAGACATGATGAGTGAGATCATACTAAACTCCACCGGTTTCTAAAAGTGCAATTTATAATCAAATAATATTTTTATTTGATTAATATCTGTCCATCAACTATGTTTTTAAATATAATTATAACAAACAAACAAACCTTCATTCACCGGTTTCTAAAAGTGTTCATTTTATTAATTTTTCACGCCAATTTATTAATTTTTATCCATCATCTAAATGTTTTCAATATGATTCTAAATAAATAAATAAAACAAACAAACAAAAAAACCTTCAATCAACTGGTTCTAAAAGTGTTCATTTACGCCATTTTTATTTTATTAATTTTTGTCCACCAACTATGCTATTCAATATAATTCAAAGTTAATTAAAGTTTAATTATAATTAATAATAATAATATTAATAATAATAATAAACCTTCATTCAACTCCACCTGTTTCTAAGTGTCAATTTACGCAATGTTTATTTTATAAATTTTTATCCACCACCTATTATTTAATATATTGATGAATGAATGAATGAATAATCCTTCATCAAACTCTATCCACTTCTGTTAACTGTTCATTAACACCATATTTATCTCATTCATTTTTCTTCACCGCCTATGTTATTCAATATCATTCTAAATAATAATTATAAAAATAATCCTTCATTCTCATTTCTAAAAGTGTTAATTTGTTATTTTTTCTCCACCATGTTATTTAATATAATTATAAATAAATAAATACATAATACTGATAACAACAATAACTATTATCAGTTTATTAAAAGTTTTCATTTTTACTCTCTTAATGCTTATTAAAGTTAAAGCTATCGAATAAGAACAGATAGAAATTTCTATTTTTGTCGTCAATATTGTTTTGATTCATATTTGCCAACTGCTTATATAAGCTATTTGTGATCTAAAGCTGAATTTGGATTTCACAAACTCCAGCAGAGCAAATGCACTTTCAGCGAGTCCATGAGGTTTAACAAATAAAAACTTGTCTCACGATCTAAAATGAGTTTGACACTCCTGTTCCAAGTCATTCCTAATCGCCGTAATATACTGACGATTTAAGCCCTTCTCGGGTGTTGGGCAGCGTCCGAATGGAGATACAGGAGTCCATGAGTAAGTCCAAATGGGCCTCAGAGGAGTTCTGCTTCAGGATGAAATAAGGGCAGCGCACACACAACCGTAAAACAGACATAATCAAAGGCGGAGGAGGTCTGGGAGAACAGACACACTCCTCAAGCCCAACACTGTGAGTGAATACACTCCATCTGGGCCCTGGATCCCATCAGATCGGCACAATTCATCCTGTTTACAGCACAAAACATGCCGTCCTGTTGCCTGGTGCACAAATGTTTGGATGCAGCAAATACATCAATTACTGAAAGCTGAATTTGGATTTCACAAACTCCAGCAGAGCAAATGCACTTTCAGCGAGTCCATGAGGTTTAACAAATAAAAACGTAGTCTCACGATCTAAAATGTGTTTGACACTCCTGTTCCAAGTCATTCCTAATCGCCGTAATATACTGACGATTTAAGCCCTTCTCGGGTGTTGGGCAGCGTCCGAATGGAGATACAGGAGTCCATGAGTAAGTCCAAATGGGCCTCAGAGGAGTTCTGCTTCAGGATGAAATAAGGGCAGCGCACACACAACCGTAAAACAGACATAATCAAAGGCGGAGGAGGTCTGGGAGAACAGACACACTCCTCAAGCCCAACACTGTGAGTGAATACACTCCATCTGGGCCCTGGATCCCATCAGATCGGCACAATTCATCCCGTTTACAGCACAAAACATGCCGTCCTGTTGCCTGGTGCACAAATGTTTGGATGCAGCAAATACATCAATTACTGTCGAATTTGATCAGCGCTGTTAAATGCTGTTTTAGGGCCAGGCCTGTATGATATATCATGCAATGGTAGAAATGAGTCATGCACTGCATGGCTGATATATGCATGTGACTGCTTTACTTTTTTACAAATGAAAATGATGAAACATAACAACGTGAAAATACAGAGCTGGATGCATCCCAGTCCCAGTCACTGGGTTTGATTACCAGTTAATGCATGAACCTTCAATGCAATAAATGTTAGTTTGGATAAATGCATCTGCCAATTGAAAAATAATAATAACGACAACAACAACAACAATAATAATAATAAACATTTGATATGCATTTAGTCATTTGATGCTATATATATATATATATATTTACATTTACATTACATTTAGTCATTTAGCAGACGCTTTTATCCAAAGCGACTTACAAATGAGGACAATATATATATATATATATATAAATTGGAAGACTTTTTTATCCACATTGACTTAATTTGCATTAAAAGTATACATTTTAAATGCACAAATGAATGCATAAATAAATAAATACATACCTCACTAGAATTCAGAATACTCTGACTTCGTCTATCAATTTCCAAATAATAAGAGAAAATAATGAATATCGAATCATCAAGTAAAGTAATGTAACTCTTCTGAACAATCTCCCAAAACCTACACAATAAAACTGGAATTTGTCTTTATGTGTATGTGAGAAACATCAATTTCTGCACTCAGGTTGACAGAGCATCTGTCTTATTTTGTGTTCCAAAATCCCAAATCAGTTTACGAAGCCCAAACTCAGCATGCTGCTGCTCCCTCTGATGACATCCAGGTCGAGGAGCGCTGCTGTTTCTGGATGACCTGAACTCTCCTTTCCCATCCAAACAAAGCAGGGGTGCTTATTGCCTCACACTGCTGAGAAAATCTGCTGAATATGCTGAAAAAGTCACAATGGTTTATGAAATCTCACCCTCCGGTGTTGTGAAACATCTAGTGCTTAACTAACCCTATTATATCATTACTGAGGTGCACTGAGTGGATTAGACCATTGCTATGCTGTTGCTTGGTGCTCTGAGTGGCTTAAGAGTGTTGCTATGCCCTTGCTGGTTTGCTCTGAGCTAAAGTGAAATAACAGCACACCTTTCTTTAGATACCAGCAAAAGCTCAATACAAAAGGTTCAAAGTTTGTTTAAATCTCGAACACGAACTAGGAGCAACAGTAGCTGTAACTGCCTTGCCTATTTTCTTTTGCTGTATATCTGATAGCACATGTTTTCTTTTCATAAAGAGTTTGGCTCAAATTGTCCGGCGAGGGAAGCCGGCAGTCCGTTGGAGAGCAGATTGAGGAAGACAGGGTCAGTGACCCAGAGGTGCTCCTCAGAGGTTTGCTCTTACATGCCTTCAGGCCTCAATGCGTCTGTTACTCTAAATAGTAATCTGAGCTGCAATCTAAACACTTAAAACACACAGAGGTGCATCATGGGTGGTTTCTGCACTCCCGGTGGCCCTCGCTTGACCACCTCTTCTCTAAAGCTTTTGACACAAGATCATCCAGCTGTCGTGAGGGCGGAGATCAGTGATAAGACGGGTTCTTAACTGCAGGTTTGGTTTAGGTAAAATAGAAGGTCTGAAATGAGCAGATACAGGAAAGAAATTTGGGCTTTGCGTCATGAGTTTAAAATATATGCTTTAAATCACTGAAGGCGATATGTCTCAAACACACACACACGCACGCACGAACGCACACACACACACACACACACACACACACACACACACACACACACACACACACACACACATATATATACATATATATCTCTCAAATGAAACTCTTTTCCAAAATGTTTTCTGCAGAATAATAGGGGTTTGTTACAGGAAGTGCACATTGCCATGTGTTCTGTAGGCGTTGGGTTAAATTTGGATGGAAGCAGCGGTTGCTTGTGATCTTACCATGACATTCGGTGAGGTGGTGACGGCACTTCCATCCTCCAGGTAGTGTGTTTCTGTGTAGTGACTAGCAAACAGCCCTCTGTAACACAAATACAAATACACACAAAACTTAGTTACTTTCACTTGTTTCTTTAATTTCCTACTCCAGTCATTTTACTTAGTCAACATTAAATAAAAATATATTTAGTGTTAGTGATTTGAACAAACCTTTAACCCTTTGTATTAAACTTTAGCTTGTACCTAGTCCTGAATGATTTGTTCAATCTTCTGTCTTGTTAAGGAAAGATGTGTTGATGCTTCACTAAGCTATCAACTAGTTAGCTAAGCTAGCAACAGTCTAAAAACACTCAGAGCACCCTAGCAATGGCATAGCAACAATCTAAATCCACTCATAACACCCTAGCAACTGCACAGTAACAGTCTAAAGCCACTCATATCACCCTAGCAACTGCACAGTAACAGTCTAAAGCCACTCATATCACCCTAGCAACTGCATAGCAACAGTCTAAACACTCAGAGCACCCTGACAACAGCATAGAAACAGTCTAAA